AAATTTTTATATTTAGGAGGAAGAAGATGATGATGATGATGATGATGAAAAAACTGTCAGCAAATATATTACTAATGTTTATTTGGAGGTAAGAGAATGTTTTAAAAACTTTTTTCAAAATATATACTTTAATTTTATAGGATTTTGTTGATCCACATCAATCGTTATTGGTGTGACAACTTTGTATTTTACAATTTCAATAACATTGCCTAACAAGTTTTTTTTTTTTTTTTTTTAAGGTCATTGAGACAGTAAAAACATTTTTTTTCAGCTTATCTGATCAACAATGTTTTTGTCAGTTACATTTCAACAAGCAACAAAATGAAGATGAATCTTTTTTTTTTTTAAGTTTGTAAGAGACAAGTCAAAAAGTATTTTGAGTTTATTTTCCTTGCAGAGATTCATCTGACATGTTTTGACAATCATGGTTTTTATGGCTTTTGGTCAAATCAATAGGGCAAACTTTAAAGTATTTACAGATTTGGATTTTAATGATTAGTTATCACTAAACTTTTCTTTATTCACATATGGATTCTTGTGAAGTTGCTCAGTGACAATTTTCTTACCTAGACATCAACATTCTCTTCAAAATATATAATACATTTAAATATTTCCAAACTTCAAGTTGACTTGTTGCATTTTGATAGTTGCCTATCCTTTTGCTAATGAATAATTCAGCGGTTTATTTGACTTTTAAATTGATATATTTAGGAAAATGCGTGCCAAACTGATATATTTCTGTCTCTATTAAGTTGATCTTACTAATTAGACATTTTGTATTAAAACTTCCTGTGGCCTTTGAAGAGCTCTCTGACATCAACTCCCCCAAAAAGTTTGTGAACAAAAAAAAAAAAAAAAATACTATCAACAGTGAAGAAATGCCAGAAAATTATCGCACAGAATGAAAGCTTTATTACAAACTGTTAATTTAAATTAATTTTTTTTTCATTTGATTGAAATATCATTCACTGAGTAAACTAAATTGAGTGGAGCATTAGGATTAAAATTCAAATCATGTTCATTTTTTAATCATTTTTTTATCTAAATTTATAAATGGAAAAAAGAAAATTCAAAATTTAAGGTGAGTTTTGTTATTTTCTTTATTCCTTCTGAATGTCAAATAAAAGCTTCTCCATAACTGAATGCTCTTTATAAAAAGTAGTTTTTGACATGTAATACCATCTTCAAAACATTTCTTTCACATACCTTCTTCATTATTTTCTTTTGTTTTTACTAGGCTTCCAACTGCAGCTCTTATATTGACGATGGCTTTCGTTCATTATTGCCAATTATGCAACTGGCTCTCCTTGAAAATTTTAAGGAATAAAATTAAAGTTTTTTTTAATCAAAAATTTTGTGACAACCAAAATAACTGCTACTTTCCATATTGGACAATGAAAGGATATTGATTGTACAAAATTGAAACTTTTAATGTCAATAAACTTTGAACTTTAAATGAAATGTTTTTAAACTGCTTGATGAAAAAATTTACAACTATTAATACACTTATTTTTCTAAATGTTTTGTTATAGAGGATATTATTCTCACATGACTTCACAGTTTTGTGATTTTTGTAAGTCCAATTGTTACTTTTAGTTTTCAATCTTTTGATCAAAATAGGATTTATTTAATTTCCCTCATTGGTGCTGCAAATTTTTTTTACAAACACACACAAAAAAAACCCCCAAAAAACGTTTGTTTGGTCTTGGCTATATTAAAATGTCCTGTGGGAACATTGCACAATTATTACATCACTTGTCGTTGCTAACATTAAATGCTTTGTTTGACAAGCAGCTGTGAAAATAAGTTAAAAAATGCTATTTCTGTCTGCAATGGATTGCAACTTAAGTTTGTGTGTGTTTTTTTTTGCAGCTGCTTGGGAGTTGGTATTTTTATTTATTTAACTACCCTCTCTAGATAGCTAGCTCTTCTTTTGGCAATTTGCCTTCAAGTTTTGAATTCAGGCTTGTCTAAGAATGGTTGCTAACCAAGACTAGAGAATATAGCAGGGTAGTTCAGTTAAATAACTTTTGGAGTTATAAATTTTAATATTATTTGCATATTTAAATATGAAATAACAAGCCATTTATATAATGTTTGTCATTAGAAGTATATATTTCAGTTGAAATATTTTGCACTCAAAATTCCCAATGGTTTTTAAGTTTAACACTAATAACAGATCAAGTGTTACATTTTTTTGAATTTAGCTTTTCATTCCATAAAAAAAAGAATCCATTTACAATTACTCCTCCTTGGTTTAGATTAAAACTATATTTGTTCAGATATACCACAAGACAATTATTCATGTATGAGGAAAATAAGAATGTTATTGTGTAATAGAAAACTGTTACCTTTCAAGGCTTTGATGAATGTTATTTTTATCAAAGATAAATGAAATTTGAAGCTAATTGTTTTGTACACTCTGTAAGTCTTCCACTTTTTACTTGTGATAAATATCAAGTAGTGCATGAAACCACATTTGTAAAGTACCAACTAAAAATCACAATCAAAACCTCCAGAAATGATCAAAAATGTCTATTGTTACCCAAGCTGATTTTCTCTCCTGATCTGTATTTTAGTTATCATGTTTCAAGTGCTCCCCCCACAACCATGTTTGTACTTTCTGAAGGTTGAAAAATAAAAAATTTATGTGTACTGATGTTTGTGTTTTTTTTTCTTTCTTTTAGTTGGTGACTGCAATGTAGATTTTATTTTATTGAAGCTTCCTTAGCAAGTTGGAATAACAATTGGTGGGTAGGGAATACAAGGAGTTGCAAAGAATGCACAATTATACACATTTCAGTGGTGAAAGATTTTTTTTTAACCCTTTGTACTTTCAAATAAAACAGATTGCATTGAAATTATTGTTACTCAAATTATATTAATTTTTCACAGTACAAAATTAGTAAATTAAGTTTTTCAAATCTATTTATTTTACTTGCTTTTATAGTTTTATTGGTGGATTTCCTTATAAAAGAAATTCTAAAATTTATGTTCTGTTAATTGATGTGGAAACTGAAAGATCCAATTTTTTTTTTTTTTTTTAAAATGGGGGAACATTTCCAGAGCACTGAAGAGATGGCAGGTAAAACCTTTGAAAAAACAAAAAATTGAGAGTGTACAAATCAGTAACTCAGGAATTGTGGACTAAGTAGAATTGTTTTGGTAAAATTTGAAATACAGGTGACTAAAAATTGATTTACTCCTACCTCCCCAAGAATTATTTTTAAATTAATGTTTTCATCTTTTCCAGTGAGCATAGTATCTAAGACATTTTGCTACAGGTGGAAGAGGAACCACAAATGACTAAAAAATATTTTCATTTAAAACCAGATTTATTTGTATTTTAAGAAATTCAGTCTTGTGTGTGTGTGTGTGTGTGTGTATATATATTTTTTTTTTTTATAGCAAAGGAATATCCATCAAAAAGTCAACACAGGATTAGAGAAAGAAAAATTTATTACAACTACTCGAAAATCATTACATTTAAGAAATGTCTTTTCTATTTCATATTTTAAAGTCTGACTTCCTTTTGAAAACAACAGATTGAAATTTATGTTTATCGCAGTAAAAGACGAAAATTCCTATGCAAGTAAATGTTTGAAATAAAAGATCTGAGGTTTAGTCCAAATTGATTAATAATTAATAGCTGTTGCCACAACATCAAATAGATTAAGGACATTGTGGCTAGAAAACTGACAGTATGTTTGTTATGAGGAGCAAAAAAAAAAAAAAATAATTGTACCAAACTAAAGAATCACAGAAATTGTCAATCATATAGAAGCTGCTTTGGGACAATACAGTTTTCATTAAATTTTGTGCACATTTTCTGATGATTTTTTTTTTGCACTTGGGGTGGGGGAATTAAAAGGCAGCAAAATTGCACTTTTTTTTTTATGATCATTCCTGGGTGTTTCTATCTCTCGCTATAGATACATACATACACCTCACTGATAGCGTAATTATTAATATGTTCTTAATAGCTCTTTTGTATTACATCGAGCACAGTTTTATTAACACCAGCACTATACAGTGTGTGTGGGAAGAATCCAATCTTATTCAAAAAAAATTTTAATAATGAAGACATTGTACTCCAGGATGAGCATGGATTCACACTTGATTACCATGTTCATCAAACTGCTTTCTACTAAATCTCAGAAGGGGGTGGAGGAGAATGGTGACTGCATCATTATCTACTTTCTTTAAAATCAGATTTAACAAGTTTAGTAGTAAACACACCCAGATTTACTAAGATATATTTTTGAAAATAAGGCATGTGTAAACCTTACATAGAAAATGTTCAAATGAAAACCCTGAATAAGTAGATGAACTTAATTGATTTAGACAATGAAGAAATTTTGAACATAACCCACCTGATATAACTTTTTTTTTTTTTTTTTTTTTTTTTGGTAACCAGTTCATTATTAATGCCAATATTTTTCACAACAAATTGTTTAAAATATTACAAAATCTTTAATAATTTCAAAATCAAAGTTGATTTTAATAAGATTCATACAGATGTGAATGATAACAAGTGTGATGTGTAATGCAACTGAAATTGAAGATATCTTGCCATTGAATCCACTTAAAAGAAAATTGAGAGCAAGATGCACTTAATCTTGTGTTCTTTACTATATTTAAAGTTAAATGCATATCACAAAATTTTCAAGTCTTTTGCGATCAATGGAGTGATTTGAAAAACTGAAAATTTCTTTTTTAATAGTTTTGCTAAGAGTTTTCATTTAAATCCAGAAAAATTTAAACTTTTAACAAATTCTGAAAATCAAGTTCTGAAATTTTCAGTACACATTAGTTGTCAATAATATTATATCTGACAATGTTAATGAAATAGAATCAGTTTTTGTTTTTTGTAACATATGATCATAGTAGGGATGATTTTCTCTCAAAGAATTATCAATCCAAACAGATTTCAGACAGAAATGTAAAGGATTTCTTTCTACCATGACTTTATGGTAAAAAAAAATTCTAGCCATTGTTTATCACCGCTTGCCTCGTTTACTGGCTGGTGGAGGAGGCTTTTGTAACTGAAAAGGTCTGTTTTGAACCCCAAATTGTGAGCTGGAACCTGTAGGTGACAATGAAGAATTTCCTGGTTGCAGAGGTGGTTGGAGTAGCGGTTGCTGTTGTGGTGTTCCAAATGCAAAGCCGCCTCCAGCTTCAAGAGGTTGTGTAGCTGCGGTCATCTGTGGTAGCTGAGTGCCAGTGTTGGGAATTGCAGCTGTGTTCACTCCTCCACCAAACATGCCCCCTGATGAGCCCAGAAGGGAGCCTAACAAAACAGGTGATAATAAAAACACAAGTATTTGTAAATAGCAATTTCACAGGAGCTGGATTTCTTAACCTGACCAGAAAATTGGTCAATCTATTAAAAAAAAAAAAAAAAAAAAAAAAAATAATATATCATACACACAAAACATGCTCTACCCAACATGCAGAAACAACCAACTTGGTTCTGTTTTTAATAAGTTGGTAAGTAGATTTAAAAACAAAACAAAAAAATCAGGACAGTCAAAATAGCAATTTGTTTTGTTATGCAATTCATAAATATTTAATGAGGTTACATAGTTTTAAGGATTTAAAAAAAAAAAAAAGGAAAATTTTCAACTCAACAAAATAAAAACAAAGCATTTTTTAAAAACTTGATTTCTTTTTTTTTGTAGCAATGATTCTGGGTTCCAATTGCAGGGAAAGGGAGAAAAATGAATGTTTGTTGTCAACATTTTATTTTGAATAGTCAAGATTCCTTAATTATTTTTATTTTGAGGACAAAAAAAAAATATCCGTAAATCAACTTATCAAAAACAAGATCCAAATGAATGAAGGAAAAAAAAAAAAAAAAAAATTATCAACAGTAATCATTCTAAGACATGCATTCATAGTTGCTATGAAATCAGATTAAAAAAAAGAAAGAAAAAAAAAAAAAAAAAACCTGATTACAAGCCTAAAAAAAGAAACAAAAAAAAATTTAGAAATTCTTTCTGGTTTACATAAATAAATTTAAAAGTAACAAGCAATTTAGAAGCAGACTATATGAAATTTTACATTCCATAAAAGAAATATATTTTGTCCTTAAACATAGTTAAACTTATTTTTATATTAAGCAAAACATCAATTTATTTCAAAATAGCACACTGAAGAAAACACTTTCAATGATACTTTCATAATAAAATAATGCTCAAATATTTTAAAGATTAATATTGATATAAAAATAATAAAACAAAATTCCTCATGTAAATTGGAATGATTTCAAACACTGAAAAAAATTTGCCACTGGGCAGGTTTTTCCTATCTTGATTGGTAATAAAATCATGCACACAGCAGACACAACCAGTAATGAAGAACAATAAATGCTATCCAAGCAATAATCTGAGAAAATTTACTCCAAATTTCACTCTGGAAATAGAATCAGAAGTAAGATTATTTTTGTTCAGATTAGAATTAGTAGTCAAATAATGCATTCATGTGTGTGGATTGAAAAAGCAATATCAAAAGCATTTACAATATAGAGTTGACAATTTACTTTTTCTTTTTCAAGAGGTTCCTTAATCTTTCTTAAAAGGAAAAAACAAAGAAAAAAAAAAATTTCAGAGGTGGAGATGAGGGGGATATGGCAATGTAAGTTTGGAAAATGTATATTTTGTGTTTCAATCAACTTGAAACTAATACCTTTTGAATGGAAACTAAATGTAAGATTTTAGATGTATATAAATAACCCAATATATTGTATGTAATGGGAAAAGTTATTCACAATGAATTCAAATGTTTTAGATATGATGTGAATAAATATTGAAATTAACAAAATCTATCCACACAGAATCAGATAACTTAGATTTTACTTCATTTGGATGATTTTTTTTTTTTTTAAGCATAAATATGAAATATTTAACAAGTCAAGATATAAAATAGCCTGTGTTAAATGCAGAAATAAGATAAAAAGATCTTTTCCAAGAAATTTGGTCCATTGTGTATGTCATCAGAACTTCCAATAATTCCAACTTAAGTGCACACAAACGTTTGAAGAAATCCCCAAAAACAAATTCATAAACTATATTTAAAAGTTGCCTTCATATTGTAATAAATATTTAAAATAGATAAAAATATTAAATTATAAAAAATAACTGAATTAAATAATTAAAACAAAATTTTATTAGTATCTAAGATTTAAAAGTAAAAATGAAATAATTGATTAAAATATTAAAATGTGGGTCAAATTTACAATATTAAAACATTTTTCACACATTTCTATTTACGCTGGAGTTGGATAATAAAAAAAAAAATGATGTAGATTGTTCTAGTTCCACAAGCACAAGGACATATGGCCCAGTGGATAAAATTAGGACTTGACACAAAGAATTGTGGAGTTTAATATCTGGAGGTGAAAAAAAAAAAAAAAAAAAAAAAAAAACACTTCGAGAATAGAGTTAAAAGGGAGATAACTGATACCGATAGATCTGGAATGTGGAACTAGAACAATCTACCCCGGTGGACAAAATAAAGGGTTTGGTTCAAAATTCCAATCATCTGAAAAAGGGTGCAAAAAACATGGATGAAACATTGTTTTTGAAAGTTGAGGACTCATCTTTGTTAATATATTCACAATGTAAATGATTTATGGACGAAGTAACTGAAATTAATTTTTACATCAGATCAATAGCTGCATTTAAAATTTATTTTGCATGTTTGCCAGAAAATTACAGAAATTATCATTCACATTTTTAAACCTTTCATTCAACTATTTAATGAATTTGCAAACTGGTCTAGAGCTATCATCCATCTTGAAGTTCAGTAACAGAAAATCCAAGAAGGCATTTTAATTCACACATCTAATAAAAGAAAAGGGGGGTCAATGGAGAGCATAATTACCTCAGTTTTTTCGAAGAGATAAGTGGTATTTAAAAAGAAAAAAAAAAGAAGAAAAATAGCAACAACAAAGTAAACAGCACAAAACTGGGAATGAAGTAGCAATTAATTTAGAATTAAACTTGTATACACCTTTGTTCATATGTGAAAAAATCACAAGAAGATTTTTTTTCAGTAGAAATAAAATATGATCTACGGGGTTAAAAATTCCTTTTTGATTCTTTGTCATATTATTGTTTTACTACTTAGAGTAGTTATGCTTTAAAAAAAAAAAAAAAAAAAATCTATAGAATGGAAAAAAGTAGTAATAAAAAGTCTTGATGAGGTTAATAGTATTACTTTGTATCAAAGATTTTGTATAAAAATGAAGATAATCATAGAAGATTTGTGTTATGACCGCCATGAAATAAAACTTGAAATTTTAATAGAATTTTTAATGTTGAATTATAATGATAGTTTCATCAATTAGTGAATTGAATAAAACAAAATGGTTAGTTGTAAGGTAAATTTAGTCAAGTCCAGAATGAAATGCATAAAAGGAAATTTCTTGTTTTCTGTATTAAAAAAAAGCAAAAGACCAAACACTGATTATATTTTTAAAATCCATGTTTGATTAGGCCAAAACTTTCAGCAAACAACTGCAGCTGCATAGACAAAGAAATTGAATGTTCAAAATGTTTCTGCATCCCCATTCCACATGTCTGTACATACAGAATAGATTTAAACCCTATTAATGGAAAAAACAAAAATAAAACTTAAAGTATTTTTCTAAAAACTTTATACAGTTTTTATATGGAAACTTACTTTCATATTTGTTAAGAAAATAACTAACTGAAAGTATAAGTCTTAAGATAGAAGACATTAAAAACAAAAAGAATACTGCATCGTTAACCATTTTTCTTTTGGGGAGAGATTAAAAGTTTTTAAACGTAAAAATTTATTAAAAGTAAAATAAAAATGATATTTTATTTTGATAAATCAAGATGACTAAATGTATGAATGAATGCAGCAGAGTTCGCAACCCTATTCAAGATTATGATTCTCTTGTTTATTATATAAAATGATAATGGATGGAAGATTGTTTGATTAAAAACAAATGTAGAAATGAACTGGAGTTTTTTTGTTTTTTTGTTTTTTGTTCACTGATCCTAAAATTCCTACTTTCACAATAATTGAGAATATTGAATGTTTCCAACGTTTCCTTAATGTACATTAATTGTTGTAGATTTGTCTTTCGAGCGACAATCAATACTTAATGTAATATATAAAGCTCAACTCAGATTGAAATTCCAAAATTGAAATTTTGTCATGAGATTTTTATTATTTATATCTACCAGCATATGTCTTATATTTTGCCAAAAAATAGTGGCGATTACTTAATGCTTAATGCTTATCTAAGTTGATTATTCCGTTTTTACAACCAAATTAGATTTTAAAATTTAATTTACAATCTCAACTTTTGTAATTTTTATAAAGAAGTACTTATTCTTCTCATTTTTCTCATTCAAAAAAGCTGCTTTTCTGTGCTAAAAAGTACAATAACATTAGATCTTAGTTTGGCGTTAAAGAAAAGCAGCGTATAAGGGAAAATACGAAATATCACCATTTTTAATAATAGATTTTAAAAATCTAACGGTAAATTATAGTATTATAGGATGCAGTGTATGAGATAAACAACTATCAAAATATTTCGACCCGCTTTAATTAGGATAATTTTATTACAGATGCAAATTCAACAATAAAAAATGAATATTTTCGATCGCTTAGTGCTACGAAACTAAAAAATGAAACTTGATCGTTCAACGCCGGTTTTCATTTTATTTACTGATGATGAGTATTTATAACTCATCATCAATAAATAAATTGAAACCAACTTCTTACTTTCCAGTCTGTTGGAAATCATCTTCTGTAGTTCCTGTTTTTAAGCACTCTGTTGAACCATATGATTCTTCGAATTATCTTCCTATTAGTCTACTACCTCTTCTTGACAAAGTAATAGAATCTCTGATCAACTTCGAACTGGTTAAGAATCTCGCTTCACACGGCCTTAATTCCGACAAACAATATGGCTTTTCCTTCTCTGGCTAAACCGCTGATGTGATTCAATCTCTTTATCAAATCGGTTCTGACTTGGCATCTCAGCTTCAGTCATATTCCCACCGCTGGAATGTGGATTATATGTTTTTCTATAAATATTTTCATGGCAACTATTCTAATGACCTTTCTTTCTTGGTACATCAACCACATGAATTTAAGCCTAGTACTAGAGCGGCATATATGTTTAATCGTTTTACTAGAGAAATAGCTAGAAACAACCGTAAATTATACATAAATACATAAATAATTCAACAAAAAGAAATTAAGTACATAGAAATAAGTAATAATTAAATTAAAAATAATTTAAAATTA